TCTCATTGCTCTTCGTTTTCCATCGGAAGGCTGTTAACTTCGAGTGCTATTTTATTAACTGGGTTACGCAGGCCATGGAAGAGGAAGTCTTGCTCCCGTCACTGCTGAATCCTTCTTCGGGAATTGGTCCCTTCTGGGGGTTCCATGGGGGCTCTAGAGGGCAGGAGAGGGAAGCATGCTAGACACTAGAAAAGAGGTTAGACTCTCGGCCTTCCCTGGTCCTGTTTGAATGATGGCCCAGAAAGACAGAATAGAGTTGCCCTTGGGCACTGAGCATAGACCAGAGGTACAATGTATGTTTATCAAAAACGCTTACTGAGCCCGACTGGTGTGGCTCAGTGGTTGAGCGTTGACCCATGCACCAAGGGGTCGCTGGTTCGATTCCCAGTCACGGCACATGCCCAGGTTGTGAGCCCATCCCCAGTAGGGGACACGTAGGAGGTGGCCAATCGATGATCTTTCTCATCGCAGTTTCTCTCTCTCTCTCCCTCTCCTTTCCTCTCACTCTAAAGTCAATAAAGAAAAAAATTGTAAAAACAAACAAACAAACAAAAGCCTACTGAAAGAAAGCGGCATGTTTACTCCCAGCTTGTTTATGGGACGTGGGTGTTGAAAATGAGAGTAGTTGGTCACGGGAATGTGATTTTTCTCGCGCTTTTACTCCTTGTATTGGTTTACAAGCCCTGTGTTCCCTGGGGATGAGGCGTTGTCCAGCCTGTGCTCCCTTCTGGCCCACCTCCCTTCCCTCTTGGGCTCTTGTTTCTGCAGACTCTCCCAATATCCGTAGGCTGACAATCGGTCTGTTTTTCCTGGCTCGGCTTAAATTGAGAAGCAGGGGACTTCATGTTTTTGTTCTCTCGGAAATGTTTCTTGAGGTTCCTGACTGAACTTTCCCCTGGCTTTCACTGTAACAGGGGAAGCGTAAACATTTTCTAGTTGAAGTAAAAACGCTAGTGTCAGCAGGTGACAGTGTTGTTGAAATTGACATCTTTACCCCCAACCGTCTCCTCCCCAATTATTTCTTGTCTTCTTTTGTATGCTGTGTGTGGCTAGGAAAAGATTTGAGGCAAACTAGAGGAGACACCACCTGGACACACCAAACACCCCTTAATAGTTAGAGGCTACTGTGCTGACTTCTTTTTGGTGGGTGCTGCGTCCTCAGACGCATGCTTAGTGCAGTCAGCAGGCCCTTGCTGACCTGAAGTCCGCCCACCTTATCAGACTTGGCAGAGAGCAAGCAGCCCTGGCATCTCCGATTCCTTCCTGATGGGTCTCAGTCCTGAGTAAGTGGTTGCAGATGTGTGAGCTTAAGCCATACTGATTAAGTTCACTCTCTCTTTTTTTAATGGAATTTATCGGGGTTACATTGGTTAGAAAATTATATAGGTTTTGTGTACAATTCTTTAAAAGATTGTTTTTATCTTTTTGTTAATCCTCACCAGAGGATATTTTTTCCATTGATTTTTAGAGAGAGTGGAATGGAGGGGGTGAGGGGGGTAGAGAGAGGGAGAGAGAGACACATCTGTTGGTTGTGGCCTGCACGTGCCCTGACCAGGCTGATGGAACCTGCAACCCAGGCACGTGCCCTTGACCAAGACTTGAACCCTCGGTCCTCTGGTGCTCAGGCCGATGCACTAACCACTCAGGCCAGGGCTGATTACCTTCTCTTAAATGGTCTTTTCTGAAAACCGTGCTTCTCAGCAAGCATTGGCTAAGCATTTGGCATTTTTATGGAAGTTTAATGTTTGCCATGAGAGGGCAGAAACATGGTTCCTTACTTTTGACAGATTTATGTAATCTAATTAGGTTATTTAACACAGCAAGCCTTTTAATTTACTCTGTGAAGGCTTTTATTTCATTTAACATCATTAGATTTCTCTGCAGTTGTCTAAAATGGCACCAAAAACTGTTGTCAAAGTGACCTTTGATTTTTCATAGAACATTTTTTTTGTTTAAATAAGATATTGTTTAAATAAGGCCAACAGCACAAAGGTTCTAGTATGCATTTATTTTCTTTAAAAAAAGTTTATTGATTTTTAGAGAAAGAGGAAGGGAGAGAGAAAGAGAGAGAGAGAGAGAGAGAGAGAGAGAGATTGACGTGAAAGGGACACATCGAGTGGTTGCCACCCACACAACCCAACCAGGGCCGGGGACAAACCGCAACCGAGGTACATGCCCTTAGCGGGAACCGAACCTGGGTCTCTCCGGACCGCAGGCCGACGCTCTAACCGCTGAGCCAAACTGGCCAGGGCCAGGGCCACTTACTTTCTAAGTGATGAAACTTCATAGTGACTTTAACTATGGGTCAATTATAATCGTAGGTATATACTGACTATATTCAGTCTGTGTATCCACAGGCAAAACCTGTGTGATTTTAATCTTATATCATTGATGCTTCTCTAGGAAAAAAATTTACATTTTCAGACACTACCTTTATTTTAAAGTAGTATCTGTGGATATTGCCTATTGTTTCATAGTTACACTACCAAGTTTATTTTTTTTAAAATATGTTTTTATTGGTTTTTTAGAGAGAGAGAGAGGAGGGGATAGGGAGATAGAAACATCAGTTTGAGAGAGCAACATCGATTGGCTGCCTCCTGCACGCCCCCCACTGAGGATGGAGCCTGCAACCTGGGCATGTGCCCTGATCGGGAATCGAACCGGACCTCTCAGTCTGCGGGAGGATCAATCTACTGAGCCACACCGGCTGTGCTACATTGCTAAGTTTTAAAGTGTTATCACCTGAAATGTAAAAAATGACCAGTGTGTGTGGAGCTTGTTCAGAACACAAGCCCCCGTGTTAGTTCATGCCAAGTTTGCTTAAATATTGACTGCTCGGCCTGTGCCCTCCGGCCTCTCGGCTGGCAGGCAAGTGTAAGTGCATCCCTTCCTCAGGCGCCTTGATCTGGTTTCGGGGAAGGAGATTTGCGATTTCTGTAGGGACAAACCAAATGTGTCTTGGAACTTCTTTTCCTGGAACTCTTCTAGGTTAATGCTGTACGTTATTTGGGTAGTGGCTTTCCTTTTCTTCTTTTGCCCACGTGGCCAGTATGGTTGTAATTACCCCTCAGTTTCCCTGGACCTTACTGGCTTTACTACCATTTGGCCCCAGACAGATTTCATCTCCTATCACGGTTGGCTGGCAAATTTGAGTCTTTTTCTTTTTCTATTCTATTGGCACGCGAGGTCTGTTATTACCATTTTTAGAGACATAGATCTGAATAGAGTGATTCTCCCCCCAGAAATCGTCCCCTGTTAGTTTTTCTCTTTCAGCACTGCCCCTTCCAACCGAGGAGGAGAAGACCAGAAAGGTGGGGGTGCAAGTGGCATGTTTTTGCTGCTGCTCTTTTGGGAAATTGCCACTGGCTCACCAAGGCCCCTGAAAGTTGTTCAGAGAGGGACAACCAGGTGGCAGGATGTATGGTGCTGGATCTGGACACCTGGTCGGAACACTGTCCTTTAGCAGCTGTGTGATTTGGCGGGAAATTTCTTAACATTTTTTTAACGTATGGTGCCCCAATTCTAACGTGGAAAGAGAAATATTTCTATTCTTGCAACCTCAGGCTACATTGGTGAATCCTCCTGGACAAAAAAACAAATAAATGCTCATGTATACATTTATATCAGTCTGTGTGTATGTGTATAACATACATACACTGTCCTTAGATTGTTTTAGTGATCTAACACGGTACAGTTTGGGAACTATTTTTTTTGCTTTATAATATTAAAACATTTTTTTAACGTTTGCATTTTTGAATGAATGACAAAGATTCTTCTTTTTTTTTTTATCCTCAGCTGAGGACATTTTTTTGTTTTTTGTTCAGATAGGGTGGGAGGGAGAGAGAGAGAGAGAGAAACATCAACATGAAATGGACACACTGAGTGGCTGCCACCCGCAGAACCCAACCAGGGCCGGGGACAAACTGCAACCGAGGCACATGCCCCTAGCGGGAACCGAACCCAGGTCTGGACCACAGGCCGACACCCTAACTGCTGAGCCAAACCGGCCAGGGCCAAAGGTTCTTCTTTATGGAAAAAGCCATATTCTTAATCCCTTTTCTTTTGAACACCTCTTTTAACCGTAATGTTCTTGCCTGATCATTGGGATATAGCTTCAACTGTAAGTACTCTAGAAAGCCTAAAGCAGAAAGTAAAATACGCTTAAAGAATCTTCTTTTTTAATTAAAAAACATTTATTGACTATTAGAGAGAGAGAGAAAAAAAAACATCGATTTGTTGTTCCGTTTATTCATGCATTTGTTGGTTGATTCTTGTATGTGCCCTGGCCAGGGATCGAATACCTTGGCATAATGGAATGAAGCTCTAACCAATTGAGCTATCTGGCCAGGACTAAATAATATTTTCTTATTTGGAAAGAACTAGGAAGTGATTATAGCACATATGATTCGTTAAATGCAGAGAAAGTATTTTTCTTTGTTTTTAAGGAGATTCTTCCTGGCAGACTTCAAATAAGACATCCTTGTCCTATTTATTTGCTGAGGGAAGCCTTAGAAGACCTCTCCATCACATTAGGATGTAACGCACGAGGACTTGAGTATTTTGAGACTTGGGACAGAAAACGGAATTGCTGGAACGTGTGGGGGATTTTTTTCTTAGACACTTTGAGTCATGTCTTTGTAATTGTTTCTAAGTGCAAGGAACTTAATCTCATTTATTTCAGAACTGAAATGGGAGGGTTTTGTTGTTATTCAAATAACTACACTGTACTCAGACATAATGAAAATAGGTGATAAAATGTCACTCAGGGTAGCATTTCATCTGAGGGCGTGGGCTGGCTGAGGCTAACTTGTTGAAGTGTGCTGGTGTTCTGGCCATCCGCATGCTGATTGTCGACAATACACGACGTTTTACTGCCCTGTCCTGTTAAGTTTTACTGAAATTGAATTACTTAGAATCCATGTAGAGGATGAGAAGAAATTACTATTTTTTTAAAATGTAAATAATACAAAACAATAAAAGGATTTTTTCCTGTCCTTTAGGAACCTTGGGTAATGTGGAACACGGGAACCAATATCAGATCAAGTTGATGTATGAACATAATCTTCAGAGAACAGCCTGCAATATGACTTATGGATCATTTGGTGGCGTAAAAGGTAATTTGCATTTATTCCTGAATGTGTTATTGCAAGTACCAGATTTAGAACGCAGCAGGTCCTCCAATAATGTCATTTGTTCACTATTGCTTCATTGTGACGTTGATGAGACATTGTAGATACTTAACTCTTGTTTATATCAGTTAGCCTCTGGTAAAACTGGTTCCGTTAAGTCGTTTAGCTCAAAGTTGAAGAACCTGTGATGCTAAGTGAGGACATACTTTGCCATATAAAAATAGACAATTATTTGGTATGAATCTGAGTTAAACATGTTTTACCAAAAGATTTATATTCAAATACCCAAGCAAAATAATAAGAAAGGAAAACTTTAAGCATTAATGTGTTTGATTTTCATGTAGCCAGAGTATTTTTATGGTCTACAGAGACGTTTCTATAACTGTCTTTTCTTCAAGTTTTATCTTTTATACGTGAGCTGAGTGTAATTGAGGTTTTTCATGCTGGAGCTGTGTGCCTGCCTCTCAGCGGGAAGAAAGGGGTTGATCTTACTGGTGGGGGTCCGTGTTCTGCCTGCTATGGTCTGGCTGAAGCTGCGGACCTCTGTCCACCCACCCGTCTCCAGGGCCATCTACACAAGGGAACCTGGACCGGGCAGGGTGGGGCCAGTAGAGACTGAAGGCAGAACTGCTCCTGCCGGTCAGGCCGTGCCCTGGCCTGGAATAACGCCTGGAGGAAGGCTGCCTTTTCTGAATGTCACAAAGCATCACCTTGACCAAGTAGTGGCTCGGTGAGGCTGAGGTCCTCTCACCGTGGGTACATTTTGCTAATTAGCACACGGGCCACCTGCAGTGCGCACACCCCAGTCCCAGAGCTTCCAGGGTGACCAGGGTTTGGTGCTTGCTTGTGTACTGTTGGCGTGGAGGGATTTTATGTAGAAGCTACCCCCTTTCCCTCCTCCGTGCTAGAGAAGCTGCTGGTGCTCAGCTGAGGACAGAAGCTCATGTTTTAGGAGTTGTTTAGCCATTGTATCAAAAAGGAGCTGACCCAGTGGCTGAGCATCGACCTGTGCACCAAGAGATCGCCGGTTTGACGGTCAGGACACATGCCCAGGTTGTGGACCTGATCCCCAATGGGATGCAGGAGGTGGCCAGTGGATGTTCTCTCTCATCGATGTTTCTGTTTCTCTCTCCCTCTCATTTCCTCTCTCTCTCAAATCAATAAAGAAAAAAAAACATAGGAGCTGACCTACATTAGGTTTTTTCTTTGGTGATAGGGAAAAATGACTTTATTTTGGAAGTATCTGAAAGGGTCAGTAATGTTTTAAAGGGTCAAGGCAAAAGTTTGCAAAAGGCAGAAACTGTGGAAATTGTGTTGCTTGCATGACCTTTGCTCAGCCTTCTGTTGAGCACGGATAAGGATTATCTGGATTATCCGCAAGGCAATGGATAACCCAGCAGATGCCAGACAAGATACCAGAACAGCCCTACTGCAAAGTGGACAGTGGGCCAGATAAAGTACATCAGCAGGAACTGCCGGAAGCTAAAATTAGGGTATATAACCGACACCCCAACCCTGATTCGCTGCTGAACCGTTCTCAGCTGAGCCCGCCTGCACCCAGGTGTACGCAATAAAGCCATTTTGCTCTACCTTGGTCTTGCGTTGTGGATGTGATCTCTGCCGGCTCAGACCTTTTAGTATCTTTTATTCATGTGAACTCAGTTTTTTTCCTACATAAAGGTACAGGCAAGGAATATGTGAATCAGAGCACACCAGTCAGCAGTCAGGGGTATTTTGGGTGTGATGTGCAAATAAACATCTTGCGTAGTAAACATGATAGGATACAAAACACCAGCTGGATTGCCTAATAGCTTAACTTGAATAACAGGAATGTTTGAATTATTTGAGGAATGTGGGAGATGTCCAGGGGCAGGTGAAGAGAGGAGAGAAAGAGCTAAAATTTGATAAGGTAACTTATGTCACTGAAGTATCCCCTCCCAGCCTCAGCTGTTCGGACAAAGTACTACTGGACTTTTAATTTTATTATCAGATAAAGTTAATAAACAAAATGAAGTTTTAAGTTAATTAAATGAAAATAAATTCTGTTGCTTAAAACATGTCCGACATGATTGGGAGGCCTAGGTCTCTCTTGTTTAATTAACTTTTCAATTCTTTTTTTCCTACTAAATCCCTAAAGGCAAATTGCTAGATTTTATGTATCTGGAGTCCAAAAAATTATGATATGAGACAAAAAAAGCTTTGGCTAAATGAAAGTAAGGCTTTATTTTTTTTTGTAGCATCAGGAAGACAATTCTTTAGATCTAGTGTTAAGTGTTATCTTTCATAGATTGCACTGTATTTTTAATTTTATTATCAGATCAAGTTAATAAAATAAAGTTTTACATTAATTAAATAAAAATAAATTCTTTGATTTTTGTGTGACACTTCTGCTGGATTTAATAATTGACTTCCAAAGTAATAGAGCTGCTACCAGTTTTGTAAAGAACAGATAACTTTGTATTTATATGATACCTCATTTTGTTCTTAAATTATGCTTTACATTTCAAAAGTTCCCTCTGAAAAAACAAGAGGATTATGATATGTTTTACTTTCCTGTGGTTGAGCAGAATATTTTAATTTGAAACAGAGAAATAGCTGAGTAGCAGAAGGACTTTTTCCATTTCATGAGTTTGAAACACTTATTGAAATATCTACAAGAAAACATGACTAAATAGTGGGGTGGTAAATTAGTAACAATTAGTCATAGTAGGGAGTTGCTGCTGATGGAATGGGGAGTTACTGCTGATGGGTTTCTTTTTGGGATGCTGAAAATGTTCCCTAGTTAGATTGTGGTGATGGTTGCATAGCCTGTCAATACACTAAAACTGAGTTATGTACTTTATTTATTTATTCAAAAAACTTTTTTTTCCTTCTTGATTTTAGAGAGAGACAAAGAGAGAGGGAGAGAGAGATAAAAACATCGATGAGAGAGAACATCGATTGGCTGCCTCCTGCATGTCCCCCCACTTGGGATTTGGCCCACAACCTGGGCATGTACCTTGACTGGGAATTGAACTAGTGACCTCTTGGTGCATGGGTCGATGCTCAACCACTGAGCCACACCGGCCATATACTTTATTTTTTAATTTTTTTTAAAGGGTAAAGTTATGTACTTTAAAAGGGTGTATGTAAATTATATCTCAGTAAAATCCCCAAATTAGCCATTTCATAAAAACTAATGCTAGAGAGGTGATGATAGTCTTTATATGCTACGTTGCTCATGACCATGTGAAATGATACAACAGTCTTATAAAGCAGTTTGGCTATTAAGAACCATGAACATGTTCTTGGATGCTGAAATGTGACTTCTGGGAAATTATGTTAGCAAATGATTCGAAATATGGAAAAGTCATATCAAGTTGCCATACATTAATTTATTTATTCCCTCTTTCTGTCCTCCTTCCCTTCCTTTTGTATATACATATATGTATTTGTTTGTAATATAGAAAAGCTAGACATGATCAAAACGAGTAATAGTGGAGAATGACTGCTTTGGCGCATGGATTCAGTGGGTTATTATGAAGCTCTTAAGTGTTGTTTGCCGTGGCCGGTTTGGCTCAGTGGTTAGAGCGTTGGCACGAGGATCAAAGAATCTAGGGTTCAGTTCCGGTCGAGGTTGAGGTTTGTCCCTGACCCTGATTGATTCGTGCAGGAGGCAGCCAGTCGATGTGTCTCTCTCAGATCGGATTTCTCTCTCTTTCTCTTTCCCTCCTTCCCACTCTATCTGAAGATAAATGGAAAAAAATATCCTCGGGTGAGGATTAAAAAAAAAAAGATTAAGTGGTGTTTGCTGGAATGAACACCTTTGAACCTAATCTTTGTCTGCATTTCTGATTATTTCCCTAGGACAGACAGTAGGAGTGGAGTTATTGAGTCAGAAGGTTATAAATATTTTTTTCTCAATTTGAAAGCTCCCCACCTCCAAATACCATGTGACTAAATTATAAAAAGTACAGAATTTAGGAAGAAGAAAACAAGTCACCCCAAGATACGCATTGCCGAAAGAAAGCCCATTTCTGAGCCTGTCTCTAGTGTTGGTCTCATGTGTACCTGTCTGGGTCTGAGCAGATCATTCTTTTAATTTGAAAACTTCCCTACACTTGATTTGAGTTTAAAAATGGTCACTACAGCCCTGGCCGGTTTGGTTCAGCAGTTAGAGCGTTGGCTGCGGTCCCGAGAGACCCGGGTTCGGTTCCCGCTAAGGGCACGTACCTCGGTTGCAGTTTGTCCCCGGCCCTGGTTGGTCGTCCAGGTGGCAGCCACTCGATGTGTCCCTTCACATCGATGTTTCTCTCTCTCTCTCTGTTCCTCTCTCTCCCTCCCACTCTACCTGAACAAAAAATGGAAAAATGTCCTCGGGTGAGGATAAAAAATAAAAAATAAAAATGGACACTACAAATCTTGGTCTTTTACCTTCCTTGGTATTTATGATGCCTTTTTATGGAATAATTAAGTTGGGTAACTATGTCAGTAGTTGTCAGGAAAGGAATTAAGCAAAAAGAAAACCTGGTTCTATTTTAAACAAATGTAGTTTGTTTTTATTTTTATTTTTTAGGTTTTTGTTGATTTTAGAGAGAGAGGAAGGAAGAGAGAGAGAGAGAAACACTGATGTGAGAATGGAACATTGATTGGCTGCCTCCTGCACGCCCCCTGCTGGGGATTGAGCCTGTAACCCAAGCATGCTCTGACCGGGAATCTAACCAGTGACTTCTTGGTGCATGAGACGATGCTCAGCCAACTGAGCCACACTGGGCAGGGCACAAATGTAGTTAGTTTTTAAAATACTGGGAGCAGGGTCGTTTTTTGGTATGTGCATCAGAATAAACCACCACTAGATGGCAGTCCTCTACAATCTTGGGCTTCATTGGTACAGCTTTTGAGTATAAGTAAGGTAAAAAAATAAAAAATGGAGGAATTTTGATCCCAACTAATACTTTGCCTTTACTAAAAATAAATGCATCTTATTCAAGCTGCAAAAATGTAAG